AATAAATTGAGGGAAAAGAAATCAGTAACGCCTCAGGTTGAAGAACTTTCAAGATATGAGAAAAGACTTAGGGCTTCAATATTTAGAAGGGTGGGATGGCTTATTTCACAGACGGGTAGTAGAGGCCCTGGACAGAAAAGAGCTATAAGGAATATATTAATTCATTCACTTGACACATATCTTCTGAATGCCTACGTTATGAATTATGCCTAATTCTCAGAACTCCTTGAGCCAGGTTTCTTAGCATGAAGTTAAGGAGACTTCATCAGAACTATGCTTTTGAAATGCCAGGCAAAATTTTGGGGTATATATTTTTCTAGTGAGAGAGTCCACGTATTTCTTCAGAATTTAAAAAACTCTATTACTTATTGCTTATCATGGAAAGAATATACAAAATAATGTCCAAGTTGTAGTCTCTGTTTTCAAGGTATTTGCAATATAATTAGAAAGATGAAGCAAGTATTGAGCCTACTAAGGCAGGATTGTAATCACTTAATGAGTAGTAAATGTAATAGATGATCTTAGAACCTCAATGAAGAGAGAGAGAGACCATTATATATCAGGGTGATTAGGAAAAATTTTAGGGAGGAGGTAGGACTCAACCTGGGTCTTGTAAACTGAATAGAAATTGCCCATACAGACAGGAAGGAGGGAGGCACTACAAACAGATAAAATTATGCCAATATGTTTTTGATGTAAAGACAATCCATAAGGCATCCTAATGACAACAAATAGAATAGTCTAGTATGAACATAAAGTTTGTTCCGGGGATATCATGGGAGACAGTATTTAAAAGGCAGATTGATGCTAGATTGTGAAGGGCCTTAAATTCCAGACTGAAGACCTTGGATTTTATCTTGCAGAAAATGCCATATAATTTTTATAAAAGTGGAGTGGTGACAAATAAGATTTTTTGACATTTTTGTAATAAGAGTGCTTACTATGAATGTCCTGAGAGTTCAGAAAATAACCTGTTCAGAAATCTACCTTTTGTGTTAGTTTCAGATTGCATGTGACTGTCAGCTCTTTACTAACAAGGGAAATGTGCTTATTACATATTTCATAGATTACAATATTTAGCAGATTATAGTCTCAGCAACCTTGTTTGAAAAACTCATAATTACCAGGACCGAAGGCAAATATTAGCAATGTGTAATTAGTGCAGAAGATGTAGGAGAGATGAGCTCATATAGCTAATGGCCACTAAATTTAGTTTGAATGGGATCAAATTCTAGGACTTAGTTTTCTCCCTAGAAAAGAATGAGTATAATTCAATGCATATGTGATGTTCATAAATCAGAGGGGAAATGATTTTGGTAGTACTAGAGTCAAAGAAAATGGTGTAGACTTAGGGTCCTCTACCTTAATAAGTAAACTTGGGATGATAGGAAGGAGCTCTGGGGAGGAGTTTGGGAGATAAACGAAGGGAAATTTAGGGCTAGTTGGCTAGAAAGGAAAGATCATTGAAGCTGGAACTAGGCTCCGATGATTGCCTTCATCACTTAGTTCTTTTTCCTGTTTTCTGTTATCTAAAGGCAGAAGCTGGGATGAGGGATTATTTGAGTTGCTTTGAGAGTTTCAACTGAACAAGCTGAGTGTTAAAAAAATTTTTTTCAGTCTAGAGAATAACCTTGGTGATGGTTATTCCAACCCCATAATTTGAATTATGAAAGAGTGAAGGTCCAGAAAGCTTAAGTGGCTCGCACAAAAACACAGAAATAGTAAAGTGAAGGAAAAGGCCAGAATGACTACTTTACCACTGTATGTATACTGCCTGGAACAATGACTGGCACATAGCAGCAGCTCAATAAAAATTTATTGAATGAATGAATGAATGATCCCCAGGCTCGTCATTCTTGTAGCATTCTTTTCACTGCACTATAGAAACTATGGCAGATTTAATGAAAAAAGTGTGTCTTTGAGCAACAAGAACCTGCTTGAATAATGCCAAGGGATAAAGATAACCACAAGACGGATAGACTTACCTAGCGACATGCCCTCACCTTAACTGGTGTATTAGTTTTCCAGGGCTGTCATAACGAAGCACCACAGACTGGGTGACTTAAACAACAAAAATTAATTTTCTCACAATTCTGGAGACTAGAAGTCCAAGATAAAGGTATTGATAGAATTGGTTTCTTTTGATGACTATAAGGGAAAGATCTATTCCAGGTCTTTGTCCTTAGCTTGTAGATGGCCATCTTCTCCCTGTGTCTTCATGTCATCTGCCTCCTGTGTAGCCCGTCTGTATCCAAATTTCCTCTTGTTATAAGGACACTAGTCATACTGGATTAGGACCCAACCTAACACCTCATTTAAATTTAATTACCTCTTTTTACCATGTCTCCAAATATGGTTACATTCAGGGTATACTGAAGCTAGGACTTCAACATATGAACTTTTGGCCGGGGGTTGGGGGGGGGGACACAATTCACTCCACAACACATGGAAACCAGCTGTTTTTATCACAGCCTATTAAACTCTCCAACCCATTCCCCAGCTGCAGCCAAGGTGATGTTAATAGAGCTCCCAGTTTATAGCTGAAGAGACAATCGCCCAACAGCCTCAAGGTTCTGCCCATGCATGTACATTATTCAGGTGGGGCAGGAGGTTTGTCCACCACCATCTCCTGCCAGCATGCTAAAAGAACAGCTAGAGGGCATGAGCTGGCTGACATATATATATATATATATATATATATATATATGTATATGTAAAACTACGTGTCATTGTAACTGTGATTAAACATACTTTTTTCTTTGGAAATTGTCTTTTTCCTCATCTTGTAAAGTGCTACGAGAAGTCTGAAGGGTTTTGTTTTTACCTGATTGTCGAATTGTAGCTTAGCTGATAAGTGCATATCTGGAATTTATAAGGAGGCTCTCAAGTAAGTGCCTATTGAGAGGATCCTGAGGAAAGCTAGTGAGGCTCTTCCAGGGTTTCTGTGAAGATCCTTAAGTAAGAAAAATCATAAACTTACTTTAGGAGAAAAATAGTTTTGCAGTTAGAAACAATTTGAAAGAGATGAAATTCCCGTGAGGCTCTTCCAGGGTTTCTGTGAAGATCCTTAAGTAAGAAAAATCATAAACTTACTTTGGGAGAAAAATAGTTTTGCAGTTAGAAACAATTTGAAAGAGATGAAATTCCAAGACAATGTTAGGGAATTCCCAGGCTCTGTCATCGGTGAGGATCTACCATTTGTGTTAAAGGGAGAGGGAGGCGCTGTGTTTCTTGCAGAAAATGCCACCTTACTCTATCGGAATGAAACTCAGCAGCTATAGGTTTCACTTCCTTGTTTCCACCACTGACCAAAACATTGAGTGACTATAAATTTAGGGCATCTTCTCATCTTTCTCATTTCACAATTAGAAATGATACTATCCTGATCAGGGCCTTCTTGGACTGATTCCTAGTTACCAAACTGTGAATACTAAACAGACTCCAGCATGGAGGTGTTTGGATCAGTAGGTAATAATTTGATACTTCAGCTTAATAACTTTTAAAGACCATTTGATTCAGTCACCTCATGGTTTGTCTTGCTTAAATTAACAAGTCATCTACAATTTCTATAGTGCTGATCTGAAGCTTCAGTCCATTTTCTACCATTGGCTCATCAGACATCAGAGACCAAGATGCTGCTGCATTCTCAGAAGGAAATATTAACAAACATTGGGAACACCAGTATTTGTCATGATCAGTGAGTCACCGCAAGAAAGGGCACAGAAAGCAGTGGGGTCATGAACAAAAATACTTGGAAAGAGAATTCCAGTGTGGAGATGGAAACAATATAGAGGTGGAGAAAATAGAGGGTCCCCTTTCCCCCACCCTTTTTCATATAGATATAGATAATATAGATAATAGTGACAAAATGCCCTTAAGTGATTGGGAACTTATGTCAGTTTTCAGACCATTAGATCTTGAGTTATGATTGACACATAGTTAAAACAGACAAAAATAATTACTTGCCAAAAATTTATTATTAATTTCTCACACAGTCCAATTTCAAGAATGTCTCCAGGGTAGTATCAATAGGCATCAAAGAACTGTGGGCTGATGGGTCTTGTCAAAGGGCCTGTAGAAACTCACTGTTCTATTCACACATTTTCCTTTCCCTCCCCCAGCATGCTCTCTGTGATCTCACATTGGCCTGATAGCAAGATAGATATTTACAGGCTCCTGAGCAGGTTCCCTCTAAGCTAAAATTAACAAAGGTATTAATATTCTCAAACCCATTAAAACTTGGGGAAACAGAACTGAGCACTACAGACTACGGCAGAGTTTTGAAATTTGAGTTTTGAAGTTGTTTCAGAAACACCTTGCTTTTGCTTCATGAGATTTTCATCAAGTGGAGTTAAGTTAAAAAAAACCCCCCTAATTTAATTCTGTCTTCAAGCTAAATCTTATTAACAAATATTTCTCCCAGTTATGGGCCGATTTCACAGGGAGTTTTTCTGCAGAAGTCACTCCCCTGCACTATTCAAGGGTTGTAAAAATTCAGTCACTTGACAGAATCTGTGCTAATTATGCTACAAAAGATGAAAAGCTACTGGAGATATAGATTAATGAAATTTAGGCCCACGCAGAAATATCAGTTAGAACATTAAAAACATGCAAACTCTCCACAAGATGGATCAACCATTAAAAAAAGACCCATTCTTTTGAATCTCATATGGTGGTATTATTGCTACTTTCGAAAGCAATAAATGTATTCCTCAAACAAAATTCCTTAGGTTAATTAGATGATTTACATGTTTTAAAAAATGCACATATCTGCACCAAAGAGCAAAGACATCTTGCAGTAAAGAATTACTGGAGGAAGAATAAAAAGCAGAGTACAAAGTACATGAAATGAATGTAGTTTAAGATTTTGGAAGAGAAGACACTTTCTAACATCAGAGAGTTTCCCACAACCAGAAACATTTAAGTTATCACTTGCTACCCAGTGTTTCTTTTTTATTTGCTCGAAGCTTTGGCAGATGTCAGGATATCAGCAGCATCTCTTAAGAACCGTATTGAGATCTCTGCTCTTGGATGTACTCATAGAGAGGGCTGGAGCGCACTGGGACGTGAGCGAACTGACGCGTGCTCGGCTCCAGAACTTGTCGACGGCCCTTATCTTCTCGGAACTGTCTCTCCCGGAGCTGGCGGCGCAGCTGTTCTTCCTCCCGGAATTTCCTCTCCCGCTCTTGGCGACGTCTCTGCTCTTCCTGCTCCTCCAGCTGCAGCTGCTCTTCTTCTTCGCGAAACTTTCTGTCGCGCTCCTGGCGGCGCAACTGCTCTTCCTCCCTTTCCTGGCGGAGCTGTTGTTCTTCACGGAACTTTCTGTCCCGCTCTCGCCGAAGCTGTTGCTCACGTTCCTGGCGGCGCAACTGCTGTTCGTCCTCGCGGAACTTTCTGTCGCGCTCCTGCCGGCGCAGCTGGTCTTCTTCCCTTTCCTGGCGGCGCAGCTGCTCTTCTTCCCTCTCCTGGCGGAGCTGTTGTTCCTCATGGAATTTTCTGTCGCGCTCCTGGCTCCCTTTCCTGGCGGCGCAGCTGCTCTTCCTCCCTTTCCTGGCGGCGCAGCTGCTCTTCCTCCCTTTCCTGGCGGCGCAGCTGCTCTTCCTCCCTTTCCTGGCGGCGCAGCTGCTCTTCCTCCCTTTCCTGGCGGCGCAGCTGCTCTTCCTCCCTTTCCTGGCGTCGCAGCTGCTCTTCCTCCCTCTCCTGGCGGAGCTGTGGCTTCCTCCCTTTCCTGGCGGCGCAGCTGCTCTTCCTCCCTTTCCTGGCGGCGCAGCTGCTCTTCCTCCCTTTCCTGGCGGCGCAGCTGCTCTTCCTCCCTTTCCTGGCGTCGCAGCTGCTCTTCCTCCCTCTCCTGGCGGAGCTGTTGTTCCTCACGGAATTTTCTGTCGCGCTCCTGGCGGCGCACCTGCTCTTCTTCTTCACGGAATTTTCTGTCGCGCTCCTGCCGGCGCAGCTGCTCTTCTTCCTCAAGGAACTTTCTGTCGCGCTCCTTGCGGCGCAGCTGCTCTTCCTCCCTTTCCTGCCGGCGCACCTGCTCTTCTTCACGGAATTTTCTGTCGCGCTCCTGCCGGCGCAGCTGCTCTTCTTCCTCAAGGAACTTTCTGTCGCGCTCCTTGCGGTGCAGCTGCTCTTCTTCCCTTTCCTGCCGGCGCAGCTGCTCTTCTTCCTCACGGAACTTTCTGTCACGCTCCTGCCGGCGCAGCTGCTCTTCCTCCCTTTCCTGGCGGCGGAGCTGCTCTTCCTCCCTTTCCTGGCGGAGCTGTTCGTCCTCGCGGAACTTTCTGTCGCGCTCCTGCCGGCGCAGTTGCTCTTCCTCCTCACGGAACTTTCTGTCGCGCTCCTGCCGGCGCAGCTGCTCTTCCTCCCTTTCCTGGCGGCGCAGCTGCTCTTCTTCCTCACGGAACTTCCTGTCGCGCTCCTTGCGGCGCAGCTGCTCTTCCTCCCTCTCCTGGCGGAGCTGTTGTTCCTCGCGGAATTTTCTGTCGCTCTCCTGGCGGCGCAGCTGCTCTTCCTCCCTTTCCTGACGGCGCAGCTGCTCTTCTTCCTCACGGAACTTTCTGTCTCTCTCCTGACGACGTCTTTTCTCTTCTCTTTCCTCTCTCAGCAGCTGCTCTTCCTCCTGCTGCAGTTCCTCCTCCTGGAGGTACTGCCTGTCGCGCTCCCGGCGCTGCTCCTTTTCCCGCAGCTGCTCCCGCAGGGTCGGCTTGGCGTACAGCGTGTAGCGGCGTCTCTGGCTTTCTTCCTCTAGTTGCAACCTCCATTTTTGGTCGCGGCGCTGCTCCTCCTGGCGTCGCCTCCTCTCCCTACCCTCTTGGAGGCTGTCCTCCTCCTCCTGGAGCTGTCGGGCGCGCTCCCGCTGCTGGAGCTGCTGCTGCTCCTCGAGGAACTGCAACTCCCGCTCCCTCTCGCGCCTCTGGTGGCGCTGCTTTTCCTCCTCGCAGAACCGTTGTTCCCGCTCCAGGCGCTCCTCCGCCCTCAGCTGCCTCTCCCGCTGCTCCCGCAACGAAGGCCTGGCACACAGCCTCTGGCGGCGCCTCTCGCTCTCTTCCTCCGCCTGCCACTGCCATTTGAAGTCGCGGCGCTGCTCCTCCTCCTCCTGCCGGCGAGCCTGCTCCTCCTGCTCCCGCAGTTGCAGCTCACGCTCCTGGCGCCGCCTCTGCCTCTCTTCCTCCGCCTGCCACTGCCATTTGAAGTCGCGGCGCTGCTCCTCCTCCTCCTGCCGGCGAGCCTCCTCCTCCTGCTCCCGCAGTTGCAGCTCACGCTCCTGGCGCCGCCTCTGCTCCTCCTCCTCCTCCCGCAGTTGCAGCTCACGCTCCTGGCGCCGCCTCTGCTCCTCCTGCCTGCGGGGCCTCGAGTAGACTTTGCTCTGACGTGCATCGGCCTCGCTTTCTAGCTGCCACTGCCACCTTGGGGTTTGGCTCTCGCCCCACTCTCGGGCCTGTTCCTGCTCCTGCGTCTCTTCCTCTTGTTCGCGCCTCAGCAGCTGCGTGCGCCTCTTCTCCTGTCGTTCGCGCCTCAGCTGCTGCTCGCGCCTCTCTTCCTCTTGTTCACGCCTCAGCAGCTGCTCGCGCTTTTCTTCTTGTTCACGCCTCAGCAACTGCTCGCGTCTCTCCTCCTCTTGTTCGCGCCTCAGCAGCTGCTCACGCGTCTCCTCCTCCTGCTCTCGCCTCAGCAGCTGCTCGCGCCTCTCCTCCTGTTCTCGCCTCAGCTGCTGCTCTCGCCTCTCTTCCTCTTGTTCACGCCTCAGCTGCTGCTCGCGCCTCTCCTCCTGCTCTCGCCTCAGCAGTTGCTCGCGCCTCTCCTCCTGCTCTCGCCTCAGCAGTTGCTCGCGCCTCTCCTCCTGCTCTCGCCTCAGCAGTTGCTCGCGCCTCTCCTCCTGCTCTCGCCTCAGCAGTTGCTCGCGCCTCTCCTCCTGCTCTCGCCTCAGCAGTTGCTCGCGCCTCTCCTCCTGCTCTCGCCTCAGCAGTTGCTCGCGCCTCTCCTCCTGCTCTCGCCTCAGCAGTTGCTCGCGCCTCTCCTCCTGCTCTCGCCTCAGCAGTTGCTCGCGCCTCTCCTCCTGCTCTCGCCTCAGCAGTTGCTCGCGCCTCTCCTCCTGCTCTCGCCTCAGCAGTTGCTCGCGCCTCTCCTCCTGCTCTCGCCTCAGCAACTGCTCGCGTCTCTCTTCCTCTTGTTCTCGCCTCAGCAGCTGCTCGCGCCTCTCCTCTTCCTGCTCTCGCCTCAGCAGCTGCTCGCGCCTCTCTTCCTCTTGTTCGCGCCTCAGCAGCTGCTCGCGCCTCTCCTCCTGCTGTCTCCTCAGCTGCTGCTCGCGCCTTTCCTCCTCCTGCTCTCGCTTCAGCTGCTGCTCGCGCCTCTCTTCCTCTTGTTCGCGCCTCAGCAGCTGCTCGCGCGTCTCCTCCTCCTGCTGTCTCCTCAGCTGCTGCTCGCGCTTCTGCCTTTGAAGTTGCTGCTCTTCCTCCTGGCGCTCCCTGTTCAGCTCCTGCCGGTCTCGCCTTTGCTGTTGGTCTTCGTCATAAAACTCCTCAACCTCGCGGCCCTTGCGCCTCTGCAGCTGCTCTTCCTCTGCAAGGCGCTCTTCCAGTTCTTGCTGTTCTCGTCTTTGCAGCCGCTGCTCCTCGCGGCGCTGCCTGTCGCGCTGCTCACGTCTCTCTTGCTTCTCCCTCTGCTCCTCTTCCTCAGCGAGCTCCCTGTCCTGTTCCTGCCTCTTCTGCCTGCGTCGTTGCCCAGGCTCTTCTTCCAGTTTTCTGTCCCTTTGGTCTTCTTGCCTGCGATCTTGTAACAGTTTTCCCTTTCCCTCACACTGTGCTCGCTTCTCCTCGTCTAGACCTGCAGCCTGACTGAGAGCATAATAACAAGCTTGAGCCACCTTGAAAACGAACAGGAGGTATTCATTGAAGTCAACAAGCCCGTTACTGTCGCGATCCAGAAGTTCCAGGATCACATCTACCGTCTCGGGGTCATGTGGTCTCTATGAAAAAGGTGAAAATAAAAATTTTACAATGTATTACTTATAGGTAGTAAAATTTCACTCACACAATATGTTTTATGCTGAGCTGACACTCAAGAGATTCAGAGCAATTAGAAATTAGTCGTGTGTATTTACTTGTCCTCATGTAAAATGTGAACACCTCATTTTAAAGCATATGTTCGTTGGAAATCTTTGCATCTTATAATTTAGTGCTGATCAAAATAGCACACGTTCTCTAACTGGGTGAAAAAGGATGAACTCATCCTTAAGAGAGCTAGCTACAATGGAAATTTATGAAGATTTGCAGCAGTCATTTCTGAAATAGTACCCCTGATTTGATTTCTATTGCATGTTTAAAAGCAGAACAAAACATTATGGTTACGCCATTTTAGTAGAGAACAGGCTGGTATCAATTCAGTTCATTCGTTGATATTGCCATCAACATGTAATACTTGGAAAGCAACTTCTTTAGTACTCAGACTACAATGCCAATTAAGTACCTTCAGACTCAGAAATGAATGGTGGATGTGCGTAGATGTGTCATGGTGTAAAATGAATGTAAAGCCACCATTCCTTACTCTGGTCTATCCTGAGGAGAAATTTCATAGCCTTAAATCAACAGATTTTTCTTTTCTTGTTTGTTCTTACCCGAAGAACGTCTCCAAATTCCCTTTCAAGGAGGTTCTTCAGGTCTTTCTTGTTTAGTGCTGCCCCATCACAATCATGTGAGGCATATTGATTGTAAATTTCAGTGATATCGAAGATGCTTTTCAGAAGTGGAGACATTTTTTCCTTCCTTCAAGTCGAAGTAAACCTAGAACAATAAAGTATAATGCAGAATCAAAACTCTGTTTCTGCTTTTGGGAAGGCTTTATTCACAGTGGTTTAGGCAGATCTCTAAATAATTTAACTTTATAGCAGTAGTAACTTTCAACCTGGGATCTCAAAGCGTTTTATTTTTGAATATTCAGGAAGGGAAAGAGATCCTGAGAAATTCCAAGGCAGGGAATCGTATTCAGACTACCTATAGTCAGCTTTTGATTGTCCTCCCAATCTGGATTATATGTATCCTTTTCTTCTCTCTTTCATCCAGCCCCCCAGCATATTTCAGAGCCGACAGTGAAGATTGCAGAAACTTAAATTTGATATGTTGCCACTTAGAATCACTTTCCTTGAAAGTTGAGCAAAGAGGATAGGTGAAAGCCAAAATGTGAAGGAAGACTTGAGAGTATCTTAAAGGGAATAGAAGCCATGTACAGCTAATTGTGTCAGCAAGACATTTGGCAGCAAATAGAACAATGAGTCCACCAACATTATAGTCCATAAGAGATCTAGCAGTATAATTCACAAGTCACCAATTCTAAGGTTAAACACTACGTCTTCCTAGTCAAAATATGGCTGTATCAATCAGATACATCAATGAAGGAAACAGAGAGTGCATGTTGCTTTAACATGGATATATTACAGATATTCAGATAGTAATTACTGAAACTTCTGAAAGCTCTTTTCTGATTGGCTAGAATCAATGGGCCAAACTGAAACTAGAAAACTTGGAATGATATTGGTCTTATGGTTAGCTTAAAAAACAAAAACAAAAACAAATAAACGTTTGAATCTTGGCATTCTAAAAAACATCAGCTAGCAGCAGATCAATGCTAAAAGAATATGTGGATGGCTTCACCGGCTGGATGCGTAGAGTAGTCCTCTAGCTAACTTTATTTACTTCTCAACTCCAGTATCTCAGATGCCATAACCATATGAAGATGGCCCATATCAGGTAGAACCAATGTAAAAAGAGAACAGAGGATTGGCAAACTTTTGAGATGGTAGTTTTTTAGGAAGATGTGCCCTATCAGAACCACACATGATCACCCCCTGATGTGCAAAAGTATAGAGTTCCGAGCCTTGTGAGAAGGACCATGTCTCCATTCAAGTGATGGCTCCATCCATAAGAAGATAGGATGGAGTTAGTGGGAGTTAGCCATACATATAAGATACTGATTCTTTCTGGCACATAGAACTTCCCCCGACACCCAACACCTACAGTAGCTTAAAAAAATGGAGAAGCATACAGAATAACATGATCCCACAGAATGGGACTTACCCACTTCACCAGAAGAAGTTGAGTGCTCGCTGACACCACTGGCAAGTGTACGGGGTAGCTGGGAGCTGGGCCTTATATAGGGATTTTAATTGTGCCCTGGAGAGCAACTTGGGATGGAGACACCCACTCTGTAGGATGGCCTGATTCATTCCTAACCAAGCCCAGCTCCACCTCTGTCCCCACAAATGGCTTGTTTATCTCACTGTTTGCTCACGTAGCTATTTGGCAAGAGGTTCATAGACCTTGCCTCCTGACGGGGTACTGGCCCCACCTAACATGAAAGGGTAGAATATTTGGCAGAATCTCTACTTTTCTTTAGTTCTTGAAATTAAACTAACAATGAAATAAAAATACTAAATGTTCAGAGTCTTAACTGACCATGACTTCATTACAAAGGAGTAAACTCTAAGCCATTTACTTTTTAAAGAATATAAGTTCTAGAAATTTTGAAATAAACTGATGAGAACCAATTAATTTCTCCATGGGAAGTTAAGGTCCATGGGGAGCTGCTCATAAGTAAGCCCCGCCTGAAGCAATTCTAGGACAATGAGAGAGGTGTAAGAGATTGGTTTAGTTTCTTCTCTAAAAATGCAGGTGGTAAAAAATTTTACATTTGTGTCTCTTGGTCTTATGATGGTTTTCCTATGGACTGGGGTTTGCCTCCTCAGTAAACAACTTTGGAGGGTAACTTAAAAATATTTTTTCATTAAACTGTTCACAAGAAAACTTGAAATCTGTGAAATTTCATTCTTAGGGATATTACATCTAAAGGATATTTGCTCATTTCTTTTCTCATTAGCATATTGATGCCCCTGGAGAAAAAGAGCTGGTGTAATGCATTGTTGTAGATATAATCATCCTGCTCAGCCTAAGTTCCTAATGACACCTAAACATTTGAGTCTGCTTTTCCTGGGAGCACATTAAGGTAATCGGTCATTCTAGCCCATTATATCCGTCAGGGCTTTCTCAACCCTGGCGATTATTTGCAAATCTCAGTGCTGTTTTATTGTAAGGAGCCAGATTTTATCCCTGGTTGTCAGTGACTCCTAGTTTTACATTTCAGACTATATGAAACTTTGGTTCATAAGGTTTATGGAGACTATTAAATGATTCAGTAGCTTCTCTGCATTTCTGTCTCCTCCTTTGTCCAACAGAGGCAAGTATTGGTTTTCTGAAATTTGAGGCGACTGTAGGGTCTTTCGATGGTATGTGAACATTTAGAACCTAAATCTTGTTGCCTATTGTTTTATGTGCAGATTGGTTTAAATGATAGTAGAATTGAATTCTATTTGCCTCCTCACTTGCTACCATCCCAGATATGGGGCAAAAATGGAAGTGAAGGTGGAAGTGATAGGGGATGGGAAAACAATTTTAAACCTGGCTCACTTCTGCCATCTTAAGAACTTTAGCACTGAAGTCTGTGATCTAGGGGTTTTCCTAGAACTGTCAGAACTGTCAGTATTTCTTGAGCTCAGCAAACTTGATGTGGCAGCTCTTTACTTAAGAGTGAAGACTTTTTTTCTCTCTTTTATTTAGGGTTTTATACAATCCTCTTTATCTTTGAACTCTAAAATAGGACTATCACGAGCACTGTACAAACACAACCACAAGTCATTATGGGACTGCTCTCTCTCACAGAAGGCACTAGCTTTTTGTGTGGGTGGCCTTCAAGGAATTCCCTGGACAGGCCTTGCCTTATATCTGCTTGTGTTTTTATCCACCTGTGTGTGATGTGTTGGGGAACCTCAGCCCAGGTGGTAGGATGCATTTGTGTGACTCCATTACCCTTCCGTAGTCAATACACCCAAAAGAGGACTGGGGATTTATTAGGTTCTATGAAAATAAAGGAAAAATACCATTAATTATTCTAAAATTATAGTTGAGCAAGCAAAGCAAATATATAAGCAAATCCAAAAGGAAACACTTCTAAACAGCCTTTAAAAATATCTGAAATTGCATTAATGATAACAGAAAAACTCTTTCCCCACTCTGAAGAAAGCTAGATCTAAATCCAATGATGGCTGTCTTACTTCCTCTTGTTTTAAGTCAGTACAGCATAAGGGAACGTATTTAGAAACCTGCACAAGTCTTAGAGTATTTGCCTTTCTTTCTTCCTGCTTTTGGTCCATCATCAGAAAGGCTCTAAGTAGATTCAAATGTTAAATTCTAAAGTCAGGTTTGATATTCTCCTAATGAAGTGGCCCCCATTGCTCCATAATGTTCTTTTATTTTGTGCAGTGCCATTATTTACGAATATTGTTTTTTTTTTTTGTTTTTTTTTTTTTTGTCTTTTGTCTTTTTCCGTATCCGGCAACGGATTGCAACCCTCAGTGTTGCCCCCGTACTGGACCGGGGACCGGCGACGGGATTGCAACCCTCGGTGTTGCTCCCGCGCCTCGCTCAGCCAGTGAGCGGGAACCGGTCTGTATGTGGGATCCGAATCCTCGGGAGGGAGCGCCGCGCCACTGGGCCGGCCCCACAAATATTGTTTTAATAGGAGTCCCTGACATAAGGCTTGGATGGGGAAATAAATTTAATTGTTTTGTAGTTCCTTAAAAGGTTGGTAAATGCCATAATGTAGAAAATTATCAAGTCCTAACAAATCAGTTCAGTCTACTTTAATACCAACCAGGAATCCTTGAAATGTGGCAATGTCCACTCATTATGGTTCATCAAAAAATAATGGTGTTTTTATAATCTGAAGATTTCTGTATTTTTTACAGACAAAAATTTCATTATCTTTCTTTTTTTTTAAGACTGGAGACTGAGGCACTGAGAGGTCGAAGAACATTACTAACTGGCCCAGGAATGACCCAAGTGCTCCTGCTCCATTTCTGCAAGAATGTCTTTGTTCATCAGTGGGTCCAGAACACAGCTACAGTATTATGCTGGACTTTGGCTCTTTATTATGGAGGAATTGAAAGAGAAAATAAAATGTATATCACTCAGATGATTTAATATTATGTCAATCATGAAGCCCCTGTCAGTGCTAAAATCTTTGGGGATAGGCTATGCTGAGTTAACAAACAGAGAACTAATGAAATATTAGGTTTACCTTGTCTTTATCTCATTCAAGGGCTCATTTCCTGTTTTCTCCTGTTAGAACCCAGAGAAAGAAGATAATAGATTTGATATTCTGTGGCATTTACCAGGACCCGCCCTGACTCAGCTCAATTGGATAACCCCCAAAGTGAAAATTTAGATAAAGCATAGAAGTTTCCAGTGTCGTCTTCAGCTTAATAGGCTTCTGATGAACTCAATATTAATCATGAAGTTTATTCTCTGGGAAAATGTCCAGAGCAGGATGATTTTAGATGGCTTTGAAAAAAGGAAAATTCTTTGGTAAGCTCTCTAAGTATCTCTCCAATGAAGAGTTTTTCTTTAAAATTATGTGTTAAATCTGTCAAGTTTTCTTATTGTTTCCTCTTGTTCATTGACCTACCTCCTGGGACCCCACCTCTGCCAGTACAAAACTTAATATAGTTTCTTTAAAGTTCCATACACATTTCATCTCCTCCCCAAAGCCTTCCTTGACCTTTACATGCAATGATCTTCCAATAAAAAAATTTTTTTCCAACAGCATGCTTAGTCAGCATCATACAACCTAGTGCTAATTAATGTGTAATTTTCATATTCCTCTCTAATTTAATGGATGCTTGTTTTGTCTTTTCAATTAGGTTTTAAGTTCCTTGAAGGTAGCACTGTATCTT